ATAGATCAATGTTAGTGATAATGTCACTTTCTATATATAATTTATTCGCTGTTTGAATAACCGTGTTAAGGAAACGTTATATAATTATCAATTTCTAACGTTTTTATTAAATTGTAATCACGCCTACAAATTCAGTCCCATTAAACATTTTTTTTAGCCTACATGACACCCATGTCTGGTTCTTGCCTAAACAGACGGGTTTATGATGTTAATACATTTGGCTGCTTATAGCCGTACCCTGGAGTTGGTTCACCCTCCGCCTATGATAGCAGGTAATTCAATTCAGGTCTGGGAAAAGGCAACATGCACACGCTCATAAAACACTCACACTAAGATTTGCACAGGCACGGTAGCCTTATTTGAACCCTTCAAAAATCAAGATCATCATCTTTTATTCATTCCTCATGTTGTTTCAATCCCTTTCTTTCGTGGAGCACAACATGATAAATTATGAGTAATAATTTGGCCACTGTTTTTCAAGCAAATTCAAATGAATTCATTTTCAAGCTTCTAAAAGGATGTAAAAGCGTCATAAAACTGGTCTGTATGACTCATGTGCTACTTTAGATTCCACGTCTTCTTCATTATCACAGGAGCCTGTTCTAGCTCTTTTCTAACCGAATGTCTGGGTCATGAACAAATTGTTCTTTTAGGTTGAATCTTTTCAGTGAATTGGTTGATCTGAATCAGTATTGTGAATCTGAATCAGCGATCTGATCTGATTGAGTGTTAACAACACGGTCATGGGTTTGATTCCCAGAGAATGCATGAATTTAAAACATTTACCTTGATTACATAAATGTAAACGATTCATTTATGTTCTGTAAGTACTTCATTTTCAAATCAGACGGAGTCGATTCAATGAGTCAATGATCCAGTAACCAGTAATAGCAGTTAACAGCTGGACATTATTAGTAAATAATGACTTCATATGACTTGATTTGGAATATGGTGTATCAATCATATAAAACATTTTTATGGTGTTTTTTTTTTGGGGGGGGGGGGCTTTTGGAGCTTGATATCCCCTGGTCATAAATGTAATGGACCAGTTTAATGGCACTTTTATGTTGATTTTCTGTCAGTTTGATGCTTGAAAACTCCAGTTCTCAGTCATTTTTATTGCATGAAATAGAGCGACATTCTTCAGATTTCTCCATTTATGTTTCCTAGAAAATTGAAAGTCTCGCAGTTGAATAAGTTATGACAGAATTTTCATTCTTGGGTGAACTGTTCCTTTAAGCCCAAAAGTTCACATAAGGTTGCTGTGCCTGTAGCATTTTGCCAGACAGGAAAGTGCAGAGAAGTTAGGCTATAGCTTTGCAGTCGGTAGCGAGCTACTGCTCAGATATCAGGTTGTGTGTGGACAGTTTGTGTGTAATCTAAAATCAGTATGGCCTGATCTTTTACTAAATTGTGAACTATGAAATGACGAGCAGTTTGGCAAGTTCAGCTGCCGGTTCATGTTTAGAAGGATTCTCTTCACTGCTCGTGGCTGCTCTCCAAGCCTGTGCACACACTTGTGCAGTTCAAGGCCTTTTACAATGCTAGAACAGATTCCTGAGGGAACTCACAGAGGATACGAAGATAAAAGGCTTGACCAATGCAAAGCATCAAAGTTAACAAAAATGAACGTCTGTAATAAAACACCACACCCCGTTCATTTCACGAGTCCGTGCACAGCGCTCTCTATGCAGGTGCCCGTATTTCAGGGGCATACTATCTAATGTACTGGTGACTGAGCAAGTGACATTTTAAAGGAATAATTCAGCCAAAAATGAAAATTCTGTCATCATTTATTCACCCTCATTTCGTTCCAAACCAGTATGCTGTTATTTTTATTGGAATACAAAAGGAGAATTTTGAGGATTCTTTATCTTGTATACTATGACAGTTTCCAGTGATCATGGGCTGTCAAGCTCCAAAATGACAGAATAAGTGGTCTGTATATGCCTCATACATTCATATATTCCAAGTCTTCTGAAGCCATACGCTATCTTAAATCAATATTTACTCTCAAATCTAATCAAGTATGCAGCTCTCAGATGAAATACAGTTGGACATCATGAACATCAAACATCACTGGCTTAAGCATCAGTGTTATATCAGCTCCAGCGATATCGTTGATTTGATTGCAAATGATTGCAAAGATACTATTTAAACTGAACTGAGCTGGATGATGACATCACTGAATTCAATGATGAACTGTCTTTAACTGGAAAATTAGTGTTTACTATTGTCATTTTGCATTATTGACACACTATTTTCCTAATTAATGCTGTTCAGTTGCTTTGACACAATCTGTATTGTTAAAAGCGCTATATAAATAAAGGTGACTTGACTTGACTTGACTAGTATTTACATAGTTATACTTTTTATTATTTTGTTGAGATAGCTTTTGTTGTTTTTAGATTTTCAGTTTTCATTTTCATTTTAGTTTCATTTTATTGTAATTTTGCTATGTGCTTTCATCATTTTTATTAGTTTTAATTCTTTCTTAAGTTCTTTCTATTGGTCCTTTACGTTATTTAGGTTTAAATATATCCGTTTTCGTTTTTATTTATTTATATTAATAATTTCAGTACTGCAACAAACATATTTCAGTTAGTTGCCATGCTAACATTTCTAATCTTTTAGTTTTTCATCTAATATCTATATTTAATTTAATTTCAGCTTTATTTCAGTTAACAAAAGTGTTTTCAGTAGATTTAGTGAACACGTGAACAAACATTATGATGTCAAAACTGCACCATATTGAATTGTGAACTGTGAGTTAAATGGAATCGTTTAATGGTGCTTTCAGGACCTTTTTGGTGCTCATCCCTTTGTAACAAGTCAAAACTGAAGTCTGAAATAATTTAGTTGTTGAAAATTTCCCACAAAAAAAAAAAAAACATGTAACAAGAAGTTTGGAACAACAAGAATGTAACTAATGACTGAATTTTCTTTATTGGGTGAACTATCCCTTGAAGTTGCTGAAAAGAATTAAATTCATAATAACTTACTGTTTTGTGTCCTACAGTTCCTCTCCAAATGACTCATCTGCAGCTTCTAGAGATGAGGTACGGCATATTCATTCTCATTTTTATTATTAACTCTTTCCCCGCCAGCCCTAAAAAAAAGTTGCCAGCCACCGCCAACATTTTTTTAAATCATTTTCATAAAACTTGAATGGCCCCCAGAATGTTTTGTTGTTTGAATATCTCAACATGCAATATGTCAAAAGAAAGCATTGAAACAAAAACCATCAAACAAACAAAAACTTTATTCTAGCTTCATTTTATCAACACTTGAATGTGGGTATGTCAATGGCGGAGAAGCATTGTCTCATAAATGTTAAGGTAACCTATAGTGTTAATGCTCATTATTGTCACTTGTTTGTCTTTGCAGAACTCAAAGTAAGAACTGCCTTCCAGCCACTGCTAAAACTTGTGGATCAGTGTGTTGTGGACCAATGAATGCACAGCAGTGGTCATGAGACTGTGTATCCGTGTATGGCACAGGCTGGCTTCTGGTCATGGTTTTGAGAGATAAATTATTGTTACTGACAGAGCATGAAGGAATGCCCCTCAACTCCAGTTTAGTTTTTTTTGTGAATGAATTGGAAAAGGTACTGTTTTTACTTTACTTTACTAAAACTAAGTCTTTGATTCTTGCTTGGATCAAAGAACAAAAAGAAAAGCATTTTTCTTAAACATTTGGACCTTCCTGCACACAATAGGAGAACTCCCTTCCATTCTCCCGCTTATTGTGTCTATCAGTATCTCCCCTTTTCTGTGACCTACTTAAGAGACCGATAAGATATGGTTTCCCATCTCACTCTACAGATGCACTACCGACTTCACTCTAAAAGCGATAGAAATTGGTATAGCCCAGATGTATTATATAATATTCCGAATCAACACTAATCAGTATTTAATTGCGCAGAAGCTGAATATGCTTTATTAATTACCTGTTATTATCTGTGTAATTAGTAACTGGAGAGAGATGAATGGCCTGGGTGCTGCTTCTAAATGTTTCTGATAAACAGAGTAGTTACTGTAATTGCAAAGTGTTGCTCCTTTTATCTGCCGAGACATGGACCAAGGACCTTTCGTTACTTCGACTAGTCCACAGAGCAAAGTTTGCTTCAATGATCTTTTCTCTCTCTCTCTCTTTTAATTGTCAGTCGACCTTACTGATATAAAGATTAGTTTTTGGAACTTAACTGGACTTTTAAACTGAAACATGAGCCTTTATGGATTTTTTGGTCATTGTGAATCTTGAATGTGAAAGTTAAAGATTTTGTCTCATCCTCATGTTCACACAATTGTAAATGTGGGAATTGAGTATATGTCAATGTTTTTGGTACTTAAGATACAATAAGGTTGAAATTTTAGGTCACTTTATGTGGGTTTGGCATGAACTCAGCTTCAAATTTGAAGCAGACTGGAGCGCATTCTTATGTAATATTATTATCATAAAACTCCAAATTTCTAGTTGACATTTTATGCATTTTTTGTAAATATTTTGTTGTTTCTTAAGCTGTTTGTCAAGCTCTTAATACCTAACAGTCCCTAAACCCCGTTTGAATGTACTGCTGCAAGAAAATGCAATTTTACAAAAAAAAAAATGATGAAGTGTGTTTGTTTTTTCTTATGAACGTAAGCCGTAAATGAAAGTGCACTAAGCCGACACAAAGTAAAAATAAATCTATGCAATGAAATGGCCTCATGATAATAATCAATAAATAATTGGGAGAATAGACCCTTGGAATCCAGTTAAATTAAAACAGCTGTGCATCAGTCAAAATCTGAAGTGCAAAAAAAGAAGTGAAAAAAAAAAAGTCCCCACCACAGAAACACTTCTCAGGCCCAGTTGCTTTTGTATGATATTGTTTAGGTCCACCCAATTCAGGGTGTGTCTCACGAAAAAATTCCAGGGAACAACTTTCAAGATTTTCAAATATTTTTTTTATTGAATTGAAAGCGGTAAAACACAAACAACCCCGATTTACACAGGCTCTACACAACAGCAATCAGATAAGCATTTTCCACACGAGTAGAAAGCAGTTCGCAAACTGCTCGAAAAAAAAATCACTAGTTAACAACTGCCAATACAACATTACAGTAGGCCTACTAAATAATCTGCGAAAAGCATGCATGCACAGACACACACCCACTCTCACATATTCAACTGCTGTAAAAAAAGACTATAAAGTTACAAAGATTTAAGTAACAAACATTGTTTAAGAAGCCAGAATTTCCTCTTCTAGTCATACAAAGCCAAACTATCTAGCTCTTCCTTCTGTATAGACAGGAATTATTCACACCAGAGAAAAAAGCTGTAAAAAAGCATTTGCTAATGATTAGTCGTGTAATTGCTCATATCAGCAGCAAAGAGAGTTAAAGAACCAAGTCATTGTTACAAATGTGGGAGTTTTTATATGGTTTACAAAGCTGAAACAGGACACAAATAGATGGGGAAACTATATCAGTGAGAAATGAACTCCAATTTATAACCACAGGAAGCATCCTGGTGACATGCAGACTGTTAAGACTCTAGGTTCTCTTGTTCATGTGAGAGCAGAAACAAAAAACATTTTGTAATCAACACAGGCCAAATTCATTATTTTGCAAAAGACACCAAAAAATGTCCTTACTGCTTTCTTCCCCTTTTTAACACCTATAAGGGCGGCGAAGCAGAGCCTGCTAACAGATTTAAAAGAGCGCATATAAACATACACATTTTGCTATTGGTTGATCACACCGCACACAGTAAATCCTAAGACTTTATTTGAAAATCAACACGCAAAGTTTTACATCATAGCTCATAAGGGATGTGTTAAGAAAAGTCCCAAATCAGCTTATGGATCATCCAAGCACGAGTATTGTCACGAGCGCAGCGCGAGGTGTTACAAAGAGTGTCGCTAACTGACATATTACAAGCTTTCTATTGTAAACAGACAATAATAAGACAGCAAGAGAGTGCGTCTCCCGAGAGTCGGTGTTTGCATGCGAGTGCCGCCTCCGAAAGTCCGCCGGCTAATGAACGACTTTGTGATCAGACTTTGGCTTCGGCTCCGTCCTACAGCGTTGCGTGTTCGTGGTGAAAGTCGCGAGCTCTTTTCTGGCATGGTAAAAGTGCAGTTTGGAGTTCTGCAAATTCTAATGAGTGCTTTTGGGCCGTCTAAATGGGTAAACACCTGCGTGTAATTGCGCAGTGCTCGGTGCTGTCAGCGCAGAGGAGCCGTCTGTGACACCCATATTCTCTGCCTGGCACATTCAACCCGTCAACATGCTCCGCGGCGACAAGAGCTCGAGCAGCTAAACCACATCTCGTCGTTTTAACTCCGTGCTCTGCCGAAAGTACACCCCAGGTCACCCCAGGCCTGACAAAGACAACACAGCGCCGCGATTTTGGGGCTCTTTAAAGAGTAATCTACATACATAACGCTGCAGGCATTATTCAATCATTTAGAAACGGAGAGCGTGCGGAGGGAAAAAGTTGACACGATGTCTAGATAATACGCGCTGCACCGGGGTATGAGGAAAGCGAGTAAAGAGGTTCCTTTCTGACAGATAAATAGAGGATGATTTAATTGAAGCAAAAACGGAGTAAAAAATACACATGCCTCTTTTTTTTTTTTGTCTTTTGTCTCGTTTAAAGCCATAGCTCACCCGAAAATGATCCCTCAAGTTGTTCCAAACCTGTACGTTTTTTTTTTTTCTTTTTTCTACCAAACATTGAATAAGATATTTTCAATAATAATAATAAATAAATAAATAAATAAAATGCTGGTCACCAAACAGCTGGTGGCAGCCATTGACTATCATAGCATTTTTTACCATCTATGCAAGTCAGTGGCTACCAGAAACTGTCCAGTTACTAACATTCTTCAAATCATGTTCCTTTCAGAAGAAAGAACTCATACAGGTTTGGAACAACTTGAGGGTGAGTAAATGAAAACTTTCATTTTTGGGTGAACTATCCTGTTAACACCCTTGAGGGTGTTAAAGGGGACAGCTTAAGCACCACTTGTAGTTGATTTGAGACAGCTGATGGTGATTAAGATATTTGGTACGAGTTTCTGAAAAAAATAACAGTACTGTCCCATGTCAGCGCAAAGCTCTTTTCTTTTCTTTTTTTCAAAGCTGTGCACCATTTGAAGCATGTTTTGGTATTCTAAAAGAGCTTGTTAAAAGAGTGTGTTAAGCATGTGATTATTTATTGCTAGCGGGGAGAAATACAAATCCCTCAGTGGCACTTGCTATAAAGGAAAGAAAGGAAACTACTGTAAAACTATTGACTACATCCATACATTAGCACATAGAAAGGTTGAAAAGAACCACGCTTAACTTTTACATATACTGTATATACAAGAATATTACCTTGCCAAATCTTCCATTAAGGACAGTGAAAGAGAGAGAGAGAGTAACTTTCAGAAGAGCCTTATGGAAAACAGTAACGTTTCCTAACAATATCCATTTAGCTTACTGGAAATGCAGTTTGGTTTGTTTGAATATCTAGGGCTTTAACATGCAATTATTTGTTTGTTGTTTTGTTGATGGATATGAAGACAGCATGCATAGATTTATATATATATGTGTATATATTTGAAGATCACCTATGCTTACCCAAGCGTGGCTGTATTTATGTTCTATGTACAAACTGTCAACAATATCCCCTAAAACCTGCACTTAAATATCCAGGTTGCAAAAAAGGGCACTGAGCCCCGTCTTAACAAAAGTCTGCTGTCTGGAGGAGGCAAGTCTTGATGACTGTGAGATTTTTTTTTTAATTGTGCTGTTGTTTCGGTCTTAGTAGCAAAACCCAACTGTGAACAATTTTCAAATTAAAGTCACAAATTGTCTGATCCCAAATGAATGATGCCTTTTAAAAAGCTTTTTCAAAGAGCCTCTACATTTCATAAGAAATGAATGAAGCACTTGTTTTACAATCAATAAACTAATAAAGCAGGGAGGAGACTGATAGCCAGCCTGCTGTACTGAAATCCATACTGTATTTAGTAGTGTGTTGTTCTAAATAAAAAGTGTAAAAGTCACAACTGAAGAGACTGTCATGATTTTTTGTCATGTTCTGATGTATCTCTCTATGCATGCTGCTTTGCTTTGTCCTGATCTCTTTTTAACCTTTTTATCCTGCGATGCATAGAGATTAGAGCCAGGTCACAGACTCTGATAGAGATCTGTGCAGTGCCTTTTTTTTTTTTTTGATTAAGGGCTCAGATGAAAATTCAGTGTGATATTTTTTCCAACCTGTCCACCACGTTGTAACTCTTGAAGGATAACTGCTGGTTGAAAGAAAGAACAAAACCTGCTTCACACCATGCTGTCAGTTTGAGAAAATGAGCTCAAATGGTCTCTGAGGAGAAGATAGACAACTGTAATGATGTAATGGTCCCACTACTTTTCAGGGCCATTTTTCAAAAGGAGAGAGAGAGAGAGAGAGAGATGAGACTGATATAGAAAGGGAGGGAGGGATAGAAGGGGAAAAATTCTAAAAAAATAAATAAAAAAGGAAAATAAAAAAAATCAGTATCGTTCAGTCCCGTCGCTCGATTCGAGTCCAGATTAAAAGCATTGCAGGCTGGTTTAGACTGGACCAAACTGGATTAGGCCAAACTGACTGGCTCATATGGCCTGGATAGGGTTGGTATGGATCAGTAGTTCAGGGGTGTAGTCTTGTCATTTGTGAAACAGGATTGGTTTAGACAGGCCGGCGAGGATTTTTGGCACCTGGACCGAGATGATTTCTGCAATCATTTCGGGAAAGCTGACCTTCGTGGGCAGAGACCGAGCTTGGACAAAGAGGTCAAAGGTGAACTGGTGCAACTTCTGAACAATCTGGGTGAGGGAGAGAAAAGAGAAAAAGAGAGGAAAGGAGAGACAAGAACAAGCAAAATGACAACATGAAAAAATGAAGGGATAGAAAAATTCACTTAAGAATGAAATGTGTCATAATTTCCATGTGCTGCCTGCATTGTTTTAGAATCAGATTTACTAAATAAATGACATAAATCAGTTAATGGCACAAACACAGCCAAAAACAAAATTAGCAGTGAACTCAATGCGCATGTTGCAGATCACCATCTGAGGCTGGTTCTGAGTGTTCAGTTGTGGATGATGTAGCAGACTACCACAATCTGGCATACTATACTGAGATTGTACTAGGGTTGGACCGATAAACGATGCCATCATCTATCGCCGATGGCTGACAGACATCGCGATGTTGAGCCGGCATCGTGATTCCTTCCCCCCCCCACCCCCCTCCATGTACTACGGAACCCCTAAAGGGAATCAATACGAGATGGGAGGAAAAAACTTTCTCTCGCAATTAGATCGTTGGGTAACCATACTGTATATAAATTGTGGGCATCAGAGAGTCGCTATTAATATGCAGGGCATTGAAACCGCATTTGAATGCGAGCTTGTGTTTTACTTTCATTTTCGAGATTTGCGATCACACACACTCTGTTTATACTACGGAGCGGCAGTATTTACCACAAAAAAGAGGCAAATATCAGAGGAACAAAACATTAAAAAGTAGGGTTACGATCAGGCAAGAGGTAGGACCCGCGTAAATATCGGAGCAGCTTTCCAGCAGTGGAGGGAACTCAAGGAGCGGGAAGGCCTGGAATTGGACGCCGAGGTTGCGTTGTGTCTTCCTGATAGGTGAATAACGTTGATTTGGCATTGTTTCTCACAATTTATCTGTGTTGGCTTTTATTTGAATATGTTTGTGTGCCATTTTCGCTTGTTTCCGTGTTCGTCGTTGCTATGGTTGTGTACGTACGTGTAGGGCGGAGATATCAAAATAGGGGCGAGGTCCTGTTGGGGTATGGCTGTGTTTGTTTTGGTGCTTTCAAATATCAACATCGATTGGCAAAATTCGCTTAGTGCACCTTTAAGTGTAACATAAGGTAAATTAGGCATTAGGCATTCCAGTAGCTTGGAAAGTAGAGCACTGTGCTAGCAATGGCACGGTCATGGGTTTAATGGGATAGTTCACCCAAAAATGTCTGCTGAACACAAAAGATAATATTTTGAAGAATGTGTGTAACCAAACATTTGCTGGTCCCTATTGACTTTCATAGTATGGAAAAAAATATTTGATAAAAAAAAAAACAACAACCTTCAACTGTTTGGTTACCCAGAGGTTTGAAACAACTTCAGGGTGAGTAAATGACGACAGAATTGTCATTTTTGGGTGAACTAACCCTAAGTCTCAAGAACTAGGTCTCAAGCGATGGATCAACTGATAAAATGCATAACCTGAATGCAGTGTATGTCACTTCAGATCAAAATATCTGCAAAATTCAAATAGCGCTGAGTATTGTGAATAAGGTACATCAGTAATGAGCCTAATTTACATATAATGGTGTGTTTGTGCTGAAAAGAATGACAGTTAATTTAAATACACTTTCAGCACATTTAGCATCTGGTTAAAACTGGACTGCAGATTGTTAATAATTTAAAAAAATGCATGTAATAAGCGCTGAGTATTGTGAATAAGGTACATCAGTAATGAGCCTAATTTACATATAATGGTGTGTTTAACTGTCATTCTTTTCAGCACAATTTAAATACACTTTCAGCACATTTAGCATCTGGTTAAAACTGGACTGCAGATTGTTAATGATTTAAAAAAATGCATGTAATAGAAAAAAAAAACTTTTTAGTGAATTTGCCTGTAATTGTCTTATTTGTCTATGAGAACACACACGTCCACTCAAAAGTTTGGGGTTGGTAAGATTTTGCAATGTTTTTGAATGAAGTCTCTTATTCTCACCAAGGCTGCCTTTATTTGATCAAAAAGACAGCAAAAACAGTAGTGCTGTGAAATTGTTTTACAATTAAAAGCAACTCTTTTCTATTTCAATATCTTTAAAAATGTAATTTATTCCCTGTGATGGTAAAGCTATTTCTTAGCATCCATTACTTCAGTCTTCAGTGTGACATGATCCGTCAGAAATCATTTTAATATGCTAATTTGGTGCTCAAAATTATTTCTTCTTATTATTAATGTTGAGAAAAATTGTGGTCCTTCACATTTTGTGGAAACCATACTTTTTTATTCATAGAAAGTTTGAAAGAATAGAAAACTTTTACTTGAAATATAAATGTTCTGTAACAATGTAAGTATCTTTACTGTCACTTTTGATCAACATGATACATCTTTGCTGAATAAAAGTATTAATTAATATTACTGTCACCAAACATTTGAATGATAGTGTATCATGCCAGTATTGCATTTAAGACACTAGTCAGTATTTTAGTGTGTGGCGTGTATGTGTGTTACTAACTGGTTGCAGTGAGTCCATCAGTCGGGTCAGCTGTTGGAAGCGCATGGCGCAGTTGGTCTTCCTGCCATAGTTGATTAAACGATCAAGCTCGTTTATGTATGTCAGACGCAGCTCATCAAAACACTTCTGACTCTTCAGCCCCTCCACTGGAACTGCAGAAATGGAAATAAAAACCTTCATTTGAACATGCATACATACTTGCATACACTTGAATAAGAACATGATTTTATTGAAATGTAATGATTTTGTGTGTTTGCTTATTGCATTTTGCATGATTTATTACACTGGTGGTGGTGGTGTTTTTTGTAATACAAATAGGAAATACACTACAAACAGGGTACACAAAGGGACCGAAACTCTTAACACTAGTCTCTTAGTTTTAAAAAGTCAGTTTTTTTTTTACTTTTTAAAAAAATGGTAAATGAAAGGAGGTACTTAACCTTCAGTGGGTCACACTAAATATTATATGAGCTTTATTTTCTTTTCATTTAATAAGAGGTTTAAAAGTATTGTGACCCTGTTACCATAATGTAGAACATAAATACAGACTGTATTTGTGTGATTAATATTTTCTAGCATAAGTATTAAATAACATCAACATTCAATAATATATAAACACAAAATAATAATACATATAAAAAAAATTAAAATAAAAAACAAAATTGTAAATAAATAAGTAAATCTTAAATCTCAAATTATGTCTAAATTAAGCTATCACTCAGCAGGGGATAGTTCATTTGGGGGTCAAATGTTTGTTCATTTATATTTTCAATTATATTTTTGGGGGAAAATCATGCAGTAACGGGGTTGAGCACATAATGTGAGACAGCTACATTTGGGGAGTTGGCATTTAAAATTAGTTGATAAAAACAATTTATACTGCAATGAATTAAATATTCACAAGATTGTCAAAAGTGATTTGATTTGTTGAATACAGTCTAAAAGCTCTCTGGACAGACTAAAGTCAGGATATAGATATTTTATATTAGTTACTTGAAAAGCTTGACTCATTTTATGTTATAGAAGATTATATAACACATCTCACACTGGAAAACAGGAATGATGCCTCTAATTTTTATTATTGTTATTATTATTTTTTAAATGTGTCATTAGGTTTTAGTATCCATACGTACTTTGTTCTGAACACACACACACACACACACACACACACAAACAGCAGTACACTCACTGATGCTGAAAAGGAGGAGGGCCTTCATGCAAAAGAACTCTTCCTGTGTGACCTGCAGCAGCACAAACTCCTGCGAGAGGTGCTTCATCTGAACACAGTGCTCGTACATGCTGGAGATATGCATCCTACGACTGACAGATGGGGGACAGATTAATTGACATACACAGAGAAAGAAGCAAACAGAGAAACATCTGACAATAACAAACAGTGGAAACTTTCTACTCGCTAATTACCATACAGTACTGACTACTGTGTAATCATCTAATGATACCCAAATCTATCCCTAAATGAAATGTATTTCATGCCTAATACACAAGTTTTGTCAGCAGCAGTGGTATGGGATTGGCCAAGATGCATTTAATGTTTCAGATAATGGTGAAAAGGGCCATTGAGAGCATGTGAACCCCCCAAAAAATCCAATCTCTCCTGGGATTGTGTTTGGGACAAAGATCCTCCACACCATAATAAGCCAGCAGTAAATTATAAATGAATCTTGGAAGAATCCACGACGAGACTTATTGTGTGCATGAAGTACAAGATATGTACCTGCCCAGGAGAGAAAGAGAGAGAAAGAGGAAAATAGAGAGAAGGAATAAGGTAGAGAAAGGGCCGCTGAGGAGAAATGAAAGAAAAATGAGTGAGAGGAAAGATGGATTAGAACATTTACGAGACAAACAAATGGACAGAAGAAGAAAATGGAATGAGAGAGAGAAGGGAACAATGCAGAACACAGATGGGTGTCGGACACAAAAGAAAACAGGCAAATAAGAGCAGAGCGGATGTGAAAGAGAATGAGACTGACTCGTTGAAGACCAGGTCTGGCGCAAAGAACAGCATCCGCGCGTTGGCGTTCTTGTAGGACCTCCAACCCAGTGCAAAGACCATCACTCCCATCCAGGTGTGTTGTATGACTGTCATCTGATCATCCACATGCAGGTTACGGAAACCTGAGAGATGGGAGAGATATTTGTGGTTTGTGTTTGCTGCCTATAACTTACAGTTTGTCAGCTGCTTGGGCACTATTTTTTGAGACCAACTGCATTTTCAACTCTATTTCAGCTCCACCATCTCATGCCATAAATTAGACTTCACCTGATGTTACTTTCAGAAAAAAAGTATGCACGTCAATCTGAACCGAGGATTTTCAGTACATTGACTTGAACCAAATAAAACAGTTTGTAGAAGACCAGGCAGCATATGCACCGCTTTCAGGAAACAAAGGGGAAACAAGCTGAACGTTCTGGGATAAACTTGATCTCACTTCCTCACTAAACACATTTATCATTGGATTCAGTGCAGATTAAAATGCCAGGCCTCACAGTTTTATTAATGCTATCAATAACAGGAAATCGGTGAACTGCAACCAATCACATCAACCTGATTCCATCAACCAATCATACGCTGTCACACTGAGCTTCAAAAAAGGGTTATTGTCAAGCCACACCCCTTTCGCTTTCTATCACCCATCCTGCTGTTTTTCTCTCAGTATTTGATGGTTTGCTGCCGCTGCATTTTACATACGACTGAAGTCTGCCTTTGCTTTTCAAAAAGCCATTTATCAAAGCCATTAGAGTGAAGTAGATTACACAACACCTCTCAAGCCTCTGAATTGAAATACAAACCATAATTAAATCACTGAGAAAAAAAACAAAAACAAATAATTCTCCACTGATGTCCCGACTTGAATCACCAGGCAGGATCTCCATCTTGTTATTATATTATTGTGTCATCTGTTCGCCGTGGGGCCTCCTCAAAGCTCGGGGCTTTGCACCGCCCAAAGGAGCGGCCCTGGTGTCAATGAATATTAAGTGTGTAACATATAAAGAAAAAGAAAGATCCTTTAAAAATCTAGTTCCTTCAAAATGTACATTTTGTATTCATGTTGGTTTCATATGGGTTTTAAAAATGTTAATAATAAAAAAAATAAAAAAAATTTACAAAAAAAAAAAGAGTAAAAACTAATATTTTCATTCAATATACAGATTTTAATCTTTTTTCAAACAGGTTTTTAATTCTATTGTTGAAGGTAAAAAGTTTTTTTTTTTTTGCAAATATCATTAACTATTGATTGATAAATATATCAAGTGTTTGGTCACATCACATGACATTTTACTAACCTTGTCTTGTAATGAAAAAGTCAAATGATCTGATATAAGAGACTGGCTAATCTTTACAAAGTCATGAGGATCTGCATGGGTCCTCTCATTACCTGATTTATGTTTCTGCATATTTCTGCATGATGTTGGACCACATAATTCTGATTTGGTGGAAAAAAAGCTTTTAAAAAATAAGCAGTAAAGTGGCGTTGCTGATTTTTTTCCCAAATAAATAAATATATCAACCTACATCAAAACATAACTGAATTCAAATTATTCTTTCAAAAATATTTTTTGAAAAGGCTTTTTTTGTTGTTATGATATCTTGACAGTTTTAATTATATTTCCTTAAAAACTATCAAAAAACATGTTCATCATAGAAGAGGTTTAATCAAATTTCTATACAATTTATGTATGTTTTTTTTGTATTTATTATTAATAGATACAAAAAATGAGCATCAAGGTACTGACCCCTTTATAAAAAGCAAAACTGCAAAACTGAAATAAGTGAAAATGTGACATGCTTAAATTACCTGGAAGTCCTTTGGCCCATTTCACTACCTTGACAAGTTGCCTCTCTCCCAACTCATTAAGGCTGGTGAGGAGAGCAGCTGCCGAGTCAGGCTGAGCATGATCATGGCCGGCGTTCACCACCTCGGGCTCGATGGCCTCCAGGATGTTCAGGAAGATCAACTGTGAGTGGAACGTCAGGCTGGGCTTGGGCGACAGGCACCTGAGTGTCTCTGATGGGCCCTGAACAGGGCCGACCCCCTCCGGACCTTTCATCTGTCCGATCTTCCTCAGCTTGCGGGCTGCGTCACAGAACAAAAGCAATATACTGTAATAAACAGGGTGGGAGTACTGCCTTTGTTAATTCAACCTGCACAAAAACACATTATTAATCTCGAACACTTCTTTATTTTATCTAGCACATATTATTAAGAAGGCAATGAAGCAGTTGGTCTCTGAATAATGAGGTTGGCATGATCTTATTTCTGCTCTTGAATATCTCTATTATACAACAGAGGATAAAACCTGCACTGCGACGGCTAGTCTCTCCGCCACATTATCTCCTGCCAGTCAGCACAAAGAAAGATTACTGGCTACAAAACATACCTGAGACAACATGCTTTTCACTACAACAAAGGACCTGACAGGATTAGCGTAAATGCATTGATATATTTCTGTAACGTGGAGCAGAACTACAGTCATTCAACAATGCAAAACATACATCGTTTCCCTAATTCTTGCGGATGTGCATTCTATTCTTTCACCAGAAAAGGCTGTTTACTATGCACAACAGAGTAAAACCATCTGTATTCTCAGGCTGCTGCTAATAAAGGGAATTAAATGAAGATGTAAATATGCGTGCGTGTGTGCATGTGCGCTTTAATTAGTTGCTACAGTAGCAACAGTTTCGCTCCTGCTTCAGTGAGTGCCTGCAGTTTTGTTATGATGCCCAACATTCACAGTTTCCACTCTGAATTATAAATCAGAGATGCTCATTATTCAATGGGCAGTGTTAGGGTGAGGAATGAAAGACTATCGGTTGATATGATTTACAACTCGCAGACTTTAATGGTGCATTACGAATGCCGATCCAAAATGTAAAAAGCAAGTTCTATTAAGAAAAAAATTGAAGGTAGCTGATTTAAATGCCTAAAAAGCACTTAGTTGCTGGCTAACAGGACAAACTCAACATGAAAATGATTCAGCCCTCTGAGATCCCCACAAAAAGGAGGCTCCAATTTTGCTGACGAGAGACCAGAGCCTCTCTGCTTGTGGTCTAAAATGAAGTGTGGTGAAGAGATAGAGAAGGGGAGAGAGTGAAATAATAACTTTATCCTGAGGTGGTTTACCAAAAGCCTATGGTTTTGCGGTAAACTTGTGGCAAGGTGCCAAAGACACCACCACTGAGATTCTCTCTTCAAAAGACATAAACCTGCCGCTCCGGCAAATACAAGCAAAAATGTAATGCAGATGGCAAATACAGCAAAAATTGCTGCTGCAAAACACTGTCTCCTGCACCTACATTTGCTAGTTTTGCTGATATGTCTTCAGCATGGAGTAGAACTTCACTCCAGTGTAGAGTGGAGTAGAGCTTCAGCTTCAAACAGGCTCTAGACAGACTTAAAATTAAAAGGAAGACCTATAATTCTGTATATTCTGTAATGTTAACATTCAGCGTATGGACTGTGGCAAATAAACACCAATTGTGCAAATCAGCTTTGCACTGCAATGGCTTCAGATGCCCGTTTAAATAAGTCTACGTCCATATCCAGTACTCCTCAGAAAATAAAGTCCACCCATGAGAGAAGATGCATCATCACGTTATCTCTAAAGTGAACTTACGCAATTGGGCATTTCTGAAACTCAAAACTTTGAAAACACGTGTGAAGTCATCCAATTGAGTTTCTCTGAAGGTGTGTAATTGGGTGAATGGTGTTGCTGAGAAAATCATCTCAGACTTGAGCAGGAACTGGAGGAACAAGGTGAATGTGTTAAAACTTCACAGATGAGTGAGAAGCCAGCACTCAGTAGCGGATGCCGTAGATAAGTGTTTACTTATATATAGTGTAGCAGTTTACTGTTACATGAAAGAAAACGTTTTGTTTCAGAGTTTTGGCATTCTGGGCTCCACTTCGAATCTGTGAAAAGTTTTGAATGATGTGAACTTTGAGCCATAATGACAGATATGTGCATAAAACTTCTGCCTCTCACTGGCAGAAAAAGAGTTTTGGGACTTTTCGGATGCTATAAGTTTTCAGTCTTAAAAGTGTTTTAAACGTAGGCATGAACTGAGAGACCATTTGTGAGAATGAACATACTACCAATTCAACTAATAAACAAAGATTTTTTGGAATACTTGTTTGTGAAGAAACGTGATTATAAACTGAAAAACTTGAATTTCAAATGAAAGAAAAACAATTCTGCACTGAAATTGCCGATTTGCATAAGGAAAAAAGTGCCACTCTTTAATGTGGTAATTCTTTAATGTGTAGTATGTTTGTCTGTTAAAAAACCCTTCATATTTAGAGGCCCTTTGAGAAACAATAATTATATACTTGTTAGAGGCATTACATTTTTTTTCTGTGGATAAAACTCTAAATGTGTTTCTGAACCAAAATGGCTCAAAATGAGCAGGCTACATTATATAGTGAGAATAAAACCCTTCAAGGCAAAATGTTCAGGAAAACCCAGATTAGAAGAAAACCTGTAAGAGAGAATTTCAAACAGACAAAGACGTGTTGCATTTAGGGCTGCACGATAAATGCGGGCTTTCACATGGAGCAGCATTAACTACACAGAGCCGTTGTTCACCGACAAGCTGCGCAAAACATGCGCAAAATATGATCGTGATTTTGCGCAGCTTGTCAGTGAACAACGGCTCTGTGTAGTTAATGCTGCTCCATGTGAAAGCCCGCACGTGATGGAGATTTACCGCTGATTAAAGAACCGGCTTTACTGACAAGATGCGCGTTAAATATCGCATGCGATTTATCGTGCAGCCCTAGTTGCATTGCAGCTAAAATCACAAAATAAACCCCACAAGTGATACATCAGGGACCTGCAGGATGATGCAAGACCTGATCACTCTGTCAGGGTGTATTTTTGACTGTACGTGATCCCTTCTGTCATTTCTGTCAGGACCACTATCGTCAAAGATGATTGACAATTAGCATACAGTTTGGATTGGCGGTATGGTTCCGTTCTGGGCTAACCCCCCCCCCCCAATTACAGTCACAGAATTCAAATGTCAGGGAAGAGGGCTGGGCCGTCCACTTGTCCACCGCCATCTGCTCTGTTCAAACACTCAGTTACCACAAACAGATGTATTGTGTGTGATGGTTTTACAATCACACTTGTGTGCTGTCTACGATTCATTTTTTTCAACAGGACGATTTAGGTTTTAGTTCCACAACTAAACATTTAAACAAAAACAAATGAAAAAGAAAGCCAAATAAACCCCCAAAACAAACTAAATAACACAGTGTGGATTAACATAGCTAGCGAGTTTTAGGGTTTTTTTTCAGCGAAAACATTTTTCTTATTATTTCTGAGCTTTGTTTGCTATATTGATTTTTGTAGTCATGCATCTTATTGTGTTTGCATTCTTATTTATTCAAATGTGATGTGATTATACTGTTGAAGGTATAAAAGATAAAAGGCGATATACAGCATGTTAAAAAGGAATAATGAAAAATCACATTATATACTGATTAAACGAACAGAAATGCATTTTAGACTTGTAATGGTTAGTCGACCTCTGCCTTTGTTGTTGCATTAAATACCTGAAATTAGATGACTAAAACATTAAGAAAGACTAGGAAGACGTATATAAACATCAGAAACATGTGGCCTGGTTTGGTCTTAGCTGTTGTGAGCCTTGGAAAGGGTTTCGTGTCCATTTCTAAGCATTTTGTAATCCATCACTTCACTGTCACATCCACACTGAAAGATAATCGACAATTCATCTACAAATGGAAAAGATTTCACAAAACTGGCAATCTACCCAGGCTAGGCTCATCCCAAGGGCTGATTGAAAGATACTGCAGGAAGTCTCCACGAACCCAAAGATGACATCAAAGGATTTACAGTGCTGTCTTGGCTCAGTCAGTCAGGGTGCAAGAGTCAAGCATCCTAAAAAGACTGCATTACTTTGCACTGTATGTGACATGCACAAGGAAGATGAATGTGAGGCCATCTGTTACAAAGCCGAGTCTGAGATGTAAGTGGACCTGAAATATGATACTCTGTTCTGTTAGGAGGAGTGAGCAAAAATTTAATGAGAAAAGAGACTTGACTGTTAGAGACTGACAAATTACGAAAAACACCAGTAGTTTTTAGCCAAAGCTATACAATCATTTAAAAAGGATATTTTCACTGTTACTACCCATCAATATTCTTAAAACTTATGTAATTAAAGGGGATGTCTAATGCTATGTCATGCATTCTGAGTTATTTACATTGTTAAAGAGTTGGATTCTCATGCTAACCATGGCAAAAGTTTCAAAAAACGATTTGGACGTATGACGGAGTATTTCTGTGCCAAATACACACCTTCAGGGTTCGTTTCTGAAAGTTTTATTTTTTCCTCGAGTATGGCCCTGTATGACATCATAAAGGGCAGAATTCCTTGTATGAACATTACCTGGCACTTCATTCGGGTTACGGAAGTCATCGCCAGCACTGCACAGGACTTGGTAAAGAAGGATTTGTCGTTTTGTTTTTAGACCACGAAACATAAGAAGTGTGTTTTTGGTTGTGAGGGAAAGATAACGCACTCGACTGTCTTCGGAGAGAAGCATAAAGCTGTAGCCTACATGTTTTTTATAAATCTAATAAAACTAAAGACTCTTCGGAGATATGAACGATGCAATACTACTCTATAGGTACACAAGGTTACAGTTTTTCTCGATTGCTAACACACAATTCATGAAACAATTCACCATTTTCTCACAACTATAAACACAATCTCAAAACTACACACCAACTTGTGCAAACTTCAAACTTCCAGGTCAAAATCAAATACTTTAGTCAAAAACATGTTCTCTTTTGTCAGACTCAAACTTTGGCCTCAGATGACACACAAACCTGCCAAATACAGACACTACTTCACTGCCTAGAGAACACTAGTGAGATCAATTCAAAACACTGTTACAAAAACCTCCTTTTGGGAAATAGGAATCCTTTTGCCAGTCAATGACTGTTACAGTATGCGACATAAATAGAGGGGTGTAGATACAGTAAAATTCAGCAATAAACTTTAAGAAATGTTTACTGTCATTACACTACTGTAAAGAGATCTTACGGTAAATGAAAAGCACTACAAGAGAA